GAAATGCCAAACTTAAGTGACAGTGGGCACGGCACATTGCTCGTAGAACAGATGGCCGATGGGGCCGAAAGGTTCTAGAGCGGGACCGCACACCTTTGGGGGCGGAGTTTGGCCTAGTATTGGCTATTTTGCATTAGTCCACGTGGACTGCGTTTACACATTAGTGGTGAAATGCGTCATTGTGTTCTTATCGTTTTCCTGGTAATAGGCTAAGAGAATTCATTGGCATTTTTAACAAAACAGTCGTTTTAAATGGGTTACAAAACAATAATTGCGTCGTACAAAACAATAATTGTGTTTCTTTTGTGTGCACATATGTAGATAATACTTACTTAAAAAAGGTTCATACATTGAATGACTCATAAATGTATATTTACAATAGCGATGGTCTTTTGTATTTTTACCAACTTGTCTATATATGAATGTTCTTAGTAATAACAAAATAGTATTCTTCATTTAATGGGTTACAATTGATACAAAACAATAATTGCATCGGTCTTTTTTCTATGTACGAATGTATTTAATCATAGATACTAAATTAGATTGCATTTGGTATCTTTGAACTTTATCTGTCTGTTGATGAAAATATCTAGTTTTTTGTTATTTGGCGAGAACTAATATGAATTTATGATAAGATTATTATTTTTTTTTAACTATAAGTCATAAGTATCTCATGCATCATATCATCTCTCCTCGAGATCAAAACGATTACACAGTAACAATGTACTATGATATGTATTTCTACGTATAAGTATGACATTGGTAACTTTTTCAAAAGAAATGTAGGAACGATATTGACTTCTTTGCCATAACACATTATAATAAAAAAAAAACACTAAACGGCTACAAATAAAAAAAAATTTTACAAAATAAAAAAACCGCCTTCAAAAAAAGTCAAGCAATAAAAGTTCCTACACTAAAAAGTAAAGAATAACAATTTGAATTACTGTAAAAAAACTTAGTTTATAGGTAAACTTATTTGACATTAATATTTTGCAAATATTCAAAATTTATTACTTATTTTTGGAGTCGGTGCCAGCCCATGCAAGGAAATACAAATGGGCAACAATCCCTTGAAAAACTACCTCTTACTTAATTATAAAACTACTTAATACCTATTTGCATACTCAAATATAGGTATATTAATTAAGACATAAATACAGATTAGACTTCTCTACAAAAAATGTCCGATTTGCACATTTTTTTTAAATAAAAAATATATACTTACAAAAACATTTTAAGTACATTGAAAATGTTTAAGCATTATGTACGAAAAATGGCACCGGATATTAAAAAGCTAACTAACATTAAGTTTCAACATTAAAATGCTGGCACCGACTCCAAAAATAAGTAATAAATTTTGAATATTTGCAAAATATTAATGTCAAATAAGTTTACCTATAAACTAAGTTTTTTTACAGTAATTCAAATTGTTATTCTTTACTTTTTAGTGTAGGAACTTTTATTGCTTGACTTTTTTTGAAGGCGGTTTTTTTATTTTGTAAAATTTTTTTTTTTTAACTCCTACCTGTGACTTGCAAGAAGCAATGTATTCTTCAGTGCGTCACATTGACAACTATTTCTCTGGTAGAATCTCCAAAGTATCTACGTGGTCGAATGTAGAAAAAAAATACATATTTCAATGAAAATAAGGAAAATTTTCTTCCATTTACTGGGAATTGATATACTGTATTGGTAGATAAAACCCAACAAGAGACATGTATGTTTATAATAACAAAGTCTATGTTTTCGAATTATCGCGCACGGTGGATACCTATCTTATATTTCATTGAGGTGGCAACGGGACGGAAGAGCTGCCTTATGCTTAGCAAAACAATTTTGAATTTGCACGTTGCTTTTAGTCCAGAGTGCAGGTTTGTATATATATGTAAGTATTTAAGGTTTATTATTGCAAGAAGGACCGAGCTGCTGACGAAACAATAGCTGAAAAAATTAGATTAGTACACTCCTAAGAAACTTAGCTACATTTTATAACTGTATTCTGTAAATGCTCAGAATTATATGTTAGAAATTTTTGTGGACTTTGGATCCTGAAAAAGTGTCTTTAAGTATTGATTTGTACTATTGCATACCTACTTGTTTACTAACATCAGATCTAATATTGAAATTATATTTTAATGACATGACGAGACAAATTCATAACAGTTATTTATAAGGACAGGCACCTGGGTATTCACAGAATTGATTGTAGGTGCAGTTAAGCACGTGTAATCCACATACATCACTACATAGTACAAAACACTCGCTTTTTCTGTCCCTATATCCCTATGTATGCTTAAATCGTTGAAACTACGCAACGAATTTTGATGCGGTTTCTTGTAATAGATAGAGTGATTGAAGAGGAAGGTTTATGTATAAAATAACATTTATTAAATAAGTATCAACATTGCTACCATGCGAAGCCGGAGCGAGTCGCTAGTTTTATGTAAAACAGTTTCTCTGTCTATCTTTAGCAAAACAAGATCGCGCCATGTGACCTATGCCAAGTCCTCGGACACCTAGTATTTACTTGAAAGCCAATATCGTTCGCATCAGTATCGTTATCGGATGGCAATAACTCTCAACCAAGTCACTAAGATCAGCAAATCGTAAAATAGCTTATATTTATATGCGTTGGGGTAAAAGTTGCTGAGATATCTAGATTTTACTTTTCAAATTACCTACAACAAATTACTTAGGTATTTCTAAAGACAACGGTTCTAGACTGAATCTTAACGTGATTAACTAATGCCAGTATTTTATTCAACCGTCCGAAAACCTGATAAGTTTGGTACCCGCCCTCCATTATAAGATCTTACTCCACTATAAAAAACTCGGCTTGCGTATTTTATCGCATGTACCTATAATCAAAATAATATGTAGGTACCTAGAGTCGAAGTAGGTACAACAATAAATAGGTACCTACCGAATTATAATAGCAAATAACAAGAAATCAATACGTACAAGACAATTGCTCATTGGTAAATTAACTTTTAAACGATAAGAAAGCGATAAAATTGTTTCTCCAGAAGTTACCATGGAAACTGTAATTAATATATTATTTTGTGTTTCTTATCATGTTTTCATATTTTTTATTTTTTTATTTATCTGTAAGTAGTTGACTATATCGCTAACTTTGCAATGTTTGTTTGGTGATCATTTGGGGAATTAAGAATAAGTTTTCACAATTTCAGTTTTTTAATACCTACCTAGATGTTTATATTTTATAGGTAAGTATTTCAAAGTCAAAGTCAAATAAATTATTTGAAATATACCACTTTAGGCACTTTTAAACGTCAAAAAAATATCAGACAGTTCAACTTTGTATGCCAGTTTGTCTGTCTTCCAATGAAGCTATTTGGTCGTTCCAAAGTGTAAATTCTAATGGAGAAGATGTATTTATTCTTGCTTTAACAGTAAAACTTGAGTCATTAGTAAAACAGAAACATCTCAATAATTCAATTATATGACTGTATTGTCTCGAGGCAACAATAACAATTAAGTTATCTTTATAATTTATTGCGAATATGTGGTTTAATGCGGTTTTATCGGCTAATAATAGGGAGCGAGGCGAGTGTTTGCTCTGCGTTTGACGTCAGGCGCTCACTTTACATTCAAACATGAAACATTAAACAACGTAGGATTTATTATTGATGTATTTATTTCTGAAGGAGTAGAAAATTTAAAACAAGTATCTTATTAATATCAATAATGGATTAAGTGACTTTTTTTAACTTATTGAATAGGTACCTACAGAAATAAACATTTTTCATTTTTTCATATCATTTGATTTCAACCCTGATCCTACCTACTAATCTACAAGATCTTAAAAAAGGAGGCCCTAGTTATAAAAATAATTGAAAGTTTCAAGACCCGTTCCAGTGACAACCCCCGTAAATATAAAACGTATTTGCTGATCGAAGGACAGGTTTAGAACGTAATCTGGTGTAGGCTCATTTAAAAATCCTAATCTTATTTTAACATATAATGCACATATGACAATAGGTTACATTAGGGCTAGAATTTTCAATAAGAAAATAGTGCAATATCTCAAATTTTTTATGTCATAGCTAAAACAATAACAATATTTTAGTACCCACCTTGGATGAACTCTCCACAAAAGCAATATTAGCTGATCGGAAGACGGCGGAATGACCATGGTATAAAGTAGCCATTTAAAAATCTTTAACATAAGACTTAACGTACCTACCTAGGATAGCTTTGGCTTGTTCCTTTTATAGTCAGCCTGAAAACCTTGCAATACCTCAAAATCTTTCAGTTGTTTAAACGCCAAACTCCATTGTAATAAACCAGGCAATAAGTCGTCGTTTACTCGTCAGTCATCAATTTCTGAATCTGTAGAAATATATGTACATATTGTGAAACAACAACTCTTAATAATTGCATGTAGGTAGGTCCTATATGCAAAATAATTTTTCATTTCTACGAACTGTAAGATTATATTTTAAGCAGGTATGTAATTAAGTGCCTAGTATAATATTATTCTTCACCATCATACAAAAGAAACAAAGGATCTCGTTATTGTTATCGATTAACACATGTAGATTACAAAATCTTACTGTGTGATGACAACATAATCCGATCATCAATCTGACGTGATTATGTCGGCAACTCAACTAACTCAACTCGGATAAAACAGCTATTTCAGAACCTACAGTGGAATTAGGGTTCATAAGAGGAAAATAAAACAAAATTTAATGATCTAGATAACAATATATTTTTGTCATCAACGACAAACTTAACAACAGACTACAACATAGATCTTCTCAACGAAACACCTGCGCGAAGTTGAATCACCTAAATACCTGTGAAATGTTTACCAACACATTGAGATTAGCTGCTTGGGTCCAACATACAAACATACAGACACGTCCACCTAGTAATCCAAGGACGAAATAAATGCAAAATAAATGGACGGCTTATAAAATTTAGGAATAAATACTTTGCCAACCATATGAGGCACTGCGGGATTTAAGGCGATGTGTACGCCGCCTACGCCTAGGTATACTTCTGCCTAACTAGGCGGGTATTGTAGGCGCGTTCAAAACATACTGCTGCAAGCTGTTGGTAAACAAATCTACAAAGAAAACATTCAGCAGGTCCGCGAAATCATTACCACAACAACATATAAACACATTATGTAACCTAAAATAGTTTGTAGTTAAAATAATCTCTTATTCCCTACTTTAAATTGCTTTTGGTTTTGACGTGTTTAATACGTACATAAATGATGAATTGACTCAAATAGGAGGCTGGTCGCCTCGACATACTGGTACATGACCGCTTAAGTGTAATCATAAAAACTTATTGGTACTAAATACAATTAGGTATAAGTTTAAAATTAACTATAATTATTCGTACAAAATATATTTATTTCAGTGCATTTCTGCTCATTATTTGTTTGTGGATAAAACAGTAATCTGGATGTCTTTACATGTGACACAACTCGAATTTATTCACAAGTGTTCTCAAGGTAGGACCAATTTTAATACTCCTGCCGCCATCGTGTACAACGTGAGACTATATAATTTTAACACAGATATATATTTGAATTTGCAATTTATTGTAACTATCCAATCAAAGAATATTTCAATCATGATCGAACCTTAACATTAGAAGCGTATTGAGTGAGATTAGCGATCGATAAACTGTAAGTAAGGGCAGACACGTGCGGTGCCAGCACCCACAGGTGGATGCACCGACCGTGGCCTGCCTTACCATATACTGTACACGCCTAGTGGGGAATGTAAAATGCTTTTGGCACTAACTTCAATAAATATTTATAATAATTTTATATTACAATACATTCAAATTTGATATTTACAGCTTATGAGTAGATACGGATATATAAATATATTTACAAGGATCGATTGTTGATACAATAAGGGTAATGAGGTTCAGTTATAGCTTGTTACATTTATACAAATAGTACATAGTCAGTAATGTGGAACGTGTACAATATCTACAGCTGCAGCTGTCCGTTACAATAAAAGCTCTAGCAACACTCACATCGATACACCGGTGACGGGAACAGCGCGACATCACGCCGCGTCCGCTTCTCACTCCGTACTCACTGGGCACTCACACCACACTCACTGCGCACTCACTGCGCACTCACCGCGCACTCACTGCGCACTGACTGTGCACTCACTCGTATGACACTCATCACCGAGTGGCCGCCGCGTGATGTCTTATTATATTGACACCAAACACTGTTTATTGGTTCTAAAATCTAACATATTGATTATATTGCACACATTCACTTAATTCTATGTATAATATCCATATGAGAGTGGGCTAAAATCCCTCTCCGCCATAATTTCGTAAACTCACCGCTTAACTACCTGATGGAATGACATGTTTGACGCACCTTCTATGTGACACTCGCTAAGCAAACTATACGAAGCTTTATTAAAGACGAACCGAATAAAACCTACAGGTTCATGCGTTAAAATTAAAATAGAGCTGATCTATTAAAAAATGGATTTTCTTCGAAATGACATACCTACAATTGTGATGCCAATTGAATGGTTTTAATAGAAAAAAAATAGTCGGTCTCATTTCTAATACAAAATGTATGAATATTAATAAAGCCGACATAATGTGGTTGAAGCCATGAGGGAACCGACTAAACCAAAGTATAATGAGCTTGCTTAGGACTGCGCCGCGTCGGGCCGCGCTGCACGGCAGAGTGGCGATGTGCCGACCGGAAGCACTCTACACGAACTCTAGTGACAACTACTGATGGGAACATGACTCTGAACTCGAGGACGATTCTTTACTTGAAACATGATATATCTTCTCGTAGCACCGTTGCCGATCCATTAAATTTTAGCACGATTTAAATGAAATTCGAAAGATCTATGTTATCGTCATTTTTTTACAACTCTAGTTCTATTAAATTAGACGCGGAACTTTTCGATTTCTCTAAATTTTAAAATTTGTGAATTTTAAGATGAACTTATAGTAACGGTAAAAGTAGGAGATTCGTTTTTATAAAATTCAGTCGCCGCCTACTGGTAAAATCGGATTAATAGCTATTCTCCTAGAAAACTTTTTAAAAAATTTCAGCACTCCCGAAGCGTCCGTCGCGGGACGGACGCGTCTCGGTCTCGAGCGATTTCATCCAAAACCCTTCGGGCGGTGCGGAGTAGTGTTCGTTAGTAGTGTTCCGTCGCTCCGGACGGCTGCGTCATGTCGCGATGTCGCCTCCCTTTGCCATGCGGGTCGTACACTCGTGCCTGTCGCGGCGCGTCACGCGGTGCGGCGCGCGGCGCTGGCGCTCAGAAGAGCATGTGGCAGCGCAGGTTGGAGTTGGCTATTCCGTGGTGTGCGCGGTGAGGTCGGCCCGCGCCGCCGCGCTGCCCTGCGCGGCCGGCGGGTCGCTGGCGGGGAGGGACAGTAGATGTTAGGCCTCCAAAAAAATCAACGCGGTTGGCTTCGGCTCCAGGTTGGACTTCTTTGCTTCCACAACCAGGAACTCGATCTCCTGTTGTTTATATAAAATATATTAAATATATTTTAGTTTTGATTAATTGTAAATTTTACAACTCAAGGTGAAAGTTTTCTGACCCAAAACAAGGTACATACCGGTTTGTCCCTTTGTGCAAAGGACTCCGCTATCAACCGCGCTACATCTTGATGCTGGAGACCTTCCACGCGATGTCCATCCACCGCGAGGATCAACTGACCCACTTCTAACCCACCAGCTTCATAAGCAGCTCCGTGCTCCTGAAAATACATTTTAATGGCTTGTTCAAAGAATATTTTGCAAGTGCAGATAAGGTATTTCATAGAAGACTGGTGCGTTACAAAATTCATGAGATTGTTGAAAATAAGCAACTTACATGAATGTTAATAATTCTGGGCAGCGGGTGCTTAGTGTTGGCACCGCCTTCGATGGCGATGCCGAGGATAGGCTTGGTCTTCTTGACGGTGATGTGCAGGTTGCCGTGATGGTCCGGCACGACCCGCGCCGCGCGCGCCTCGTCCGGCAGCTCGCCGTGCTGCAGTCGCTGCATGGACTGGTGCCGCCGGATACCGCCCCGCTCCTCCAACAACGCACCACTATCCTCTTTCATGTCGAAACTTCGTGACAAATTGTGTGCTAACTCCTATAAAAAGTTAACACTTTACCGTACATTTTAAATGATAGCTTACTAGGTGGCAATAAGTCACTTAGAATCTTATAATTAAAATGTATTTAGATATATGTAAACAAAGATACTTTAATTACTGATATGCCTTCAAGACCTGAACCCTACTAACTAATTGTACACATCCACACTAAACTGTTACTCTACTATGCTAATAAATAGCAAATTCAATTCAGCCTCTAAGTACAATTTGGTGCTCTAGGAATATTGAGGAGACGTGTAGCTGGGCGGCAGAGGGCAGTAACTCAGCGACGTGCTAGAGGCGAATGGCGGCGCGCGGGCCGCTGACTGCTGGCTAGATACAGGTAGACTTGATTTACGACCTTGTGCCTCTCAGTTACAATATGTACAGTGAGTATTTATACGTCGAATGTATTGAGAAGCTGTAAGTGAGATGTGTGCTAGAGGCTTGGATTCATGCGGTTCAATCACTCGGTGGCGTGGTTCAAGTGGGTATATTTTACAAGTGTTACAATGTATTATGGAGAGAGTTCTTATCCCGTTTACCTACCTGAGTAGGCGAATTAAACTGCAGCAAGGAAAACAGCTCAGACCAACTTAATTAAAATAAACGTAAATGCAGAAAATAAATAAACTTTATCTATAAACCAAAATTATGGTCGTCTCTGTCCTGTTATGCTTTTACGCCACCATGCTCTAGTTGAAATCATAAAATATCAATAAAACACAAAAGGAATGATGTAGGAATTAGATTTATAAAACTATAGGTACTGTTTACTGAAGTAAATTAAATTGAGAACTTGTGACATGATCATTTGTTTTACTAAATTTTCATGCAGCACGTTAGTTAGCTCGATCCATTCAATAAGACAATAGTACCTCTACAGGCTAATGAAATAACCGGAATGATAAATAAAATCACTGATTTATGTGCGTCACTACTTCGAAGTTATGGGTCAAATAAAATAATATTTACTAATAAAATTAACACCGAAATGAAGTGCAACGACAAGAGAAGTGAAAACATACAATAATTAAGTAATTCACTAACACCAAGCAATCGTTTTGAACTCGAAGCAAGAACTTCCAATAAAAAATTAAGATTTTTTTAATTTCGTGCAAATGTAAGATCTTTAATGTGCTAGGACAGTTTGCTGGTCATTCCGGCGGCGACAGGCCGGGCCACTTACTAGAGGTCGTCCCCAGTACCATGATTTTACTTTCTGCGTCCAGCCACCGAGTGATGAGCGCAGCCCCTCGAGATAGCCGCACTGAAACATCACACTCACTCAGGACCAGAACATCCTCCCTCCGATACTAACGTCCAACATGTCGCGACTCCTAACTCCCTGAGTTTGCCACACAGCGACCCGCTTGTGTTCTTTGTCATGTACTATGTCCAATAACTGTTAAGCATCTAGCATAACAATAGCCGAAGACAGGTACGCTATGGTTTCAATGGGATATATCCTACATTATACATTAAGATCCAGTTTGATGCGGTTACACTACGAAGTAGGTTCAGAAAACACGTACAAAAAATCTGTATAGGTATGTACCTACTCGTACAAGGTGTAATCATAACATCTATTTTGATTAAGTAGTTTTTCTATCAAACAGGATAAAAGATACTATAAAAATTAGCAAATACTACTTTTGCTAGCTATCTACAGAATATTACTTAGGTAAAATATGTAAAGGTGAAATTATTTGCCAAGCCTTAATAAACATTATTTACTAACCCTTTACTCTGTATTGTTTGGATTATAACAAGGTCTTTTACACTGCACGCTGCCTTAATAAAAAATAAATAATTTTACATGTTTTTGTACTTTAAGTATACATACCTGATCCTACACGTGAGATTGGTTGGATAGCATGAAACAAAAATGGTGAGATGTTATCAGTGTCTGTACAGCGCAAACCAAGCATTAGCGAACTGAGCAACTTTCAAGTCATGCAACAATTTTGTCCCATTGTGTGTTATTGTGTGACTCGTCGCGTCAACTTTCCATCAATTGTGTTGTTTCGGATCTGTCAACGAATTCAGCGTTGATTCATAGAAAAGTCTTCAGTAGTCGGAAAAGAATAGTTCTTTTGTTTTTTGTTAGTGGTGCTTACCTACTTACGTAACGTTTTTGTATTGTTTGAAGATAATCATTTTGTTACGCCACATACCTACCTAGTACCTACGTATATGTTACACTTGTCCGATTTAGTATTTGTTTCGCAATATTATGGTTTTATTTCATATTATTTTATTGTATGTAACTAACTTAAATACAAACTTGCGTTAGCTACCTATCTCGAGCATTATCGTAGCACGTAGTAAACACAAAGCGCTTAGTTTGTCATAACGAGATTATTTCTCACAAATGTAGCGTGTATCTAGGGGCCGTATCTGAAAGCAGGCGCGACATGGTGCGTCTCGTTAGTGTCTTCTATAAATAATGAGATAACATCGAACCAAGTCGTCCGACACGCGCCCGATCCGATGCCATGTACGACGCAGTCCGCCAATACAAGCAGCCGCACCACTAACCCATGCTACACTGCTATAGCTAGTACCACTGCTATTGGCAAAAGACAATTGTTTGTTACTACTCTCGCGCGGGTTTACCCCTGCTTGGCTCCGACAGATCTTAGCGTGATGTTTTATAGCCTATAGCCTTCTTCAATAAATAGACTAACAAACACAAAAATAATTGATCAATTCGAACCGGTAGTTCCGGTGCTTAGAGCGTACAAACAAATTCTACAGCTTTATAATATAATATGATATAATATCTATGATAACGGAACTTTGTCACAAATAAATTTGAATTGACAAAAGGTGGAAATATTTCAATGAATATGGATGACAAGACAAATAAATGAATCTATTTGCCTTAAGAAAATTCGTTGATTATATCAAACTTTAATATTGTACTAGCTTAATTACTGTTAACATAGAGAAGGCTTAGTTTGATTGAACTACTGCAGATAAGTTTGTGAAAGTTTTGGATTAAGAATCAAAAATACTCGTTCACTAACGTCGTTAAAACTTGCCTGACTTCCCATACTTATAATTTGCTTTGTATATTATATAATACATATAACTTATAACCAGCGCTTGTTTCAGATGTCGTGACTGCATGCATGAACGAATAATTTTAAATATTTTTTTATGCTTTGCTTTGACCTTTTCCGTATTTTATTATGAATGCACGCTTACATGTATTGTTATTATTACAATCTTAATTCGTAATCGTACGTAACGTGTACGCATGTGCAGATCAAATGTACGGAGTCCGTTACAAGTGTATGTATAGTAGGTACGTAGGTACACACAATTCACAAGTTGAAAGTTTTTGGGACGTGACGTTTACGGCTCTTTGGGAGTTATTACTCCAAATTAAGTGACTTGATGGTCTGGTGTTCGTCAGCGTGACTCTTGAGCACAAGGTCGAAGTTCTATTCGAATAAGCATGATTTTATTGACGAATTCATGTTTTATTAAAGTTTTCTTTTTAGTCATTGATTTTTATATCATAATCTTGATGTCTTCTTATACGATTAACACATTCGATTTATAATTCTTATGATATAATCATACTTACTATATGTAGTATATGTATGTATATGTATGTATACATACACTGTTACATTATGGAAAATATATGTCTATTTATGAAAATGTATACATATAGAAAACTATGTGAACGTTTGTTTTCTGATAAATAAATAAATAATAATGCAATTGTCATCCCATTGTTCCTCCAACGAATTCTAAAATACTTTATGCGTACGATATGCATATATCATCAATAGTTTAATATAGAATAATAACTATACTTAAACTTCCAAATAGAAACCGTTAGATTCTAAATTCTAAAGATAACTACGATATTCTCGAATTATGCGCAGTCATATCTAGTCAGTAGTAATCTCAAAGGAAATCTCTCCGTATCAATGTTCCAAATCGCGATATCCGTTAGTAATTTATGTTAAAGTAGAATTAAATTTATCCATTAGATAACGTGTTGTATGGGCCAACGTCAGTATATGAAGCTTGGTGTGACCATTGGATCTGTGCCAGATGAAAATTGAACAACTCTATAGGTCGGTAAACTTCTTTATCTGTGAACACGAATAGTAATTGCCAATTAAACCGATGTTATATGTGCTCACCGCAAATTTTAAAAATACACTGAGTAATCGCTCGTGCTACGATTAAGACTTCGAGTGTCAAACTTATAGTAAATATTCAACTAAGCTTAAAACCTTTGAGTGTGGGAGTGGCTCTCCCACACAAGGTTTTAAGCTTCGACAGGAATGGGTCGGCTCGACCGGAGTGATACCACGGCCTCACAGAATACCTGCGTGAAACAACCCACAGCGTTGTATTTCGCCGTGTGAGTGAGGTTACCGGAGGCCCAATCCCTCCCCCTCCCCTGTCCATTCCCGATCTTTATATCCCCAACCCGTATCCCCAAAAGGCCGACAACGCACTCGTAACTCCTTTGGTGTTGCGAGTGTCCATGGGCGGCGCCGATTGCTTACCATCAGGTAATCCGTTTGCTCGTTTGCCGACTTATACCATAAAAAAACCTAATTAATTGCACATACAGATAATAAAATTATAATCAATCTTTTCCTTTCTAATATTTCTTATTGGTAGAAACGTAATAAACGATTTCTCTTTTAGCATTTTTCATTATATATACTAAGTTTGGTTGTTTATTAGTACTACATAATACATGTAAAGGCCAATAATATCTTTAATGAATAGACTCGAATCAGGAGATGAATAACAGCGTCCGTATACTATAATGCTATTGAAATTGCTAATGGCTATTGAAATTCGAAGAAAGTCTGCTTATTAAAATAATTATTGGATATTGGCATCGATATTCTTTTTAAACAAGTTGAATTTCTATCAGTAGCAATTGATGGCAATAGAGCAATGAAAAAATTGTATTTATTTGAAATAATTCCATGTCTTGTAATAAATTCGT